TTAGTCTGAGCCTAAATCTGTCCTGAAGTTATTAACCTGGATATAGACATATTTGAGTCTAACTTTAGATGATGATTGTCAATGTAGTCACATTTGTGACATGAAATTTCAAAGAGAGAAGATTCATTAACTGAATATGTCCTTCATTTTATTGATGAAAATATTTGATTTGCTGTTCATGGTATTTTTTTCTGATGTACATCAAATGTTGCTAAAGTGCTTCATTCTAGTGAAAATGCTATTTAGATTTAGATTCTGTCAATATCTTAATTACCGGTACACTGTTGAAAATGAAAGGTAAAAAAAAAATCCAATGAATAAACTTCGAGACACTGTCTTAGTTCTGTATGTCTGTATTTTTTCTGTTTTCATGTTAAATTTTTTTAACCTATATTTTTAGAATGCACAGAAAGTGAATTTAACACAAGAGTTGTTAAATGCGAAGTTTGAAGTGTCATCTAATACAAGGTAATGTAGCTGCGTAATGTGAGAAACCCAGGTAATATTCATATTAAAAGTATTCAGATCTTAAAAGGTTTAAAGGTCATATTCTCAATGTACATTTTAATCGATTCTGTAGTCCACCTGTTTTTGCTTGTACATTCAAAATGCAAAGCAGTAGAAAAATTCACCTTTATCTATTGGATATAAAAACTATGCATGCATGCTCAAACTTGAAGTGACATTGATAAACAAGATGTCAAAAATAGAATGAATAACTATGAATGAAATTCCAATGAGGTGTATTGATTTTGCATTGTCCTTATACAAGAATCCAATATCAATTTGAAACAAATGTAGAAACTTTATGCATTCATAGTCTTTGACCACAAAATCTGCATTCCCACAGTTTTCCATTGGAATTTAATGGCCCCACCTATTTATATGTCATTATAATAGAAAAAATGTTGACATTCTTTATTAACGTATTTTTTTTCTGCGTACAGATGAGATACACAAGTCAAGTGGAAAAGCTGCACTGAAGATCTTTAAAAGTCTTTGGACAGTTATAATGTAGGACTGTACTGAAGCTAAACAATGATCAAGACCATGAAGGTAAAGAAACTTATCTCCTGTGATACATTTAGTCTTATTGCAAGTGTCTCCCCCTCCAATGTAGATAAAAGCTGGCTATGAAGTTGTTCGTTGGAGCGTTGAAGGAATGCTAAGAACTATACATTGACATACTTTATTGGACCACATACCTAGGTGTTACCTGGTCGTCGATATGGACAGGTAAAGTCGTGCTGTGTCGGCTGTGTTCACACAGCTACAAAACAAAATTTCTTCCTTTTTTCCCAGGTGAAAATGTATTTTTAACCTACCAGCACATTTTCAAAAAGATCTGTCGGGGGAAAAAGAGAATTTTCAACAGGTAATTATTTTCTATCTTCGAGAATCTTCTTTTTTTAATTAAAGTGTTTTTAAAACTATGGTTACTTTCAGTGAAATAAGAATTTCATTTTTATTTTCTAGTTACAGATGATTTTTTTTTTTCATTTCTAGTGTTTTGTTTTTTTTTTTTCTATTAAGTGTTAAGATTTCTTGAAAAACATTTTTTTAATTACATGAATTTATAAACTTTTTTATTGTGTAATTAATAGTGATTTATGAAATTTCACCTTTGGTGTATTGTTTCAATAACTCAGGTGTATAGAGTTTAATTATTCCCTAGATGAATATGTAGATAAAAGTATCACGTATCAGGAGTTTTTAACACCTGATGTACCTAATACACCTGCACTCCGATTAACCTACTTCAGTTGAATAAGAAGTTAGCCGGTAATTATTATATTAGGGAAAAAAATGTAGAATATTAGAGAATTTTTTTTTTTTTTTTTTTTGAAATCTTAATTCATATTTTTCTTGTTTGGAATTTTTCTTACGGGTTCTAGATTTTGCATAGTATTATTTTAAGAAACAATTAGTTTATTAATATCTTGCCAAAAACAAGGCTAATTGCTTGGGATTCATGCTGTTTATATGTGACATTCCGTCATAACTACTGGTATTTGTATGTGTACAAGATATACCTTTTTATGGTTTCTGTGCTAGCACAAAGTTACTGCAATATGTTTATTTTTTCTGGCAAGATCAACACTTTGCTCAATAGGATTAAAAAGCTGCAGAATTTTAAACAGGACATAGATGTTTCTAGTTTTTATCAAACTGCTATCATCAAGACTGTCACGAAAGCATGTGGAGTGGGGCTCTGTAGAAAGTATAATCTTGTCCCGGTGGATTACAGGTAGTGACTTAGATTGTCAGGAGAATAATGTACGAGCTATGACAGTTAGTCTAAATCTCTCCTCAAGGCAAAGTGTTGCTCATTTTTATCTTTTGATGGCTTTTTTTCATTTTAATTCTTCAAATGCTTCAAACTTTTATAAATTAAAAAAAGATTGAATTTTAGTACCATATTGTACATAGATGTAGGAAAATATTTTGATGTAATAGAAGAAGATATTATATAATATGTAGAAGGGTTATTTGATTTTGAAGTTGACACTTTAAGATATATTATAAAGATTTTAAAGGTTTTTAAAAGAAAATTAAGTTACATGGGCCAAAAATAACTGTCATAATTAAATTGCAAAAACTGAAAACTTTTTTCATAATTTGTCAAACATAAGATGGAAATTGCAAACCCTGTTTAAAGTAAAAATTGTAGACCCAACATATTTCAGAGGGGTTGGAAAAATGCCATCAGGTAAATAAATTGTGGTCAGTTTTAGCTGATCATATGATGTTTAAATCCCACAGTGTCTTGAAAGGGAATTATGAATTTAATAACCTTTCCAGGGTTCTAGTGAACCAGAAAGTATGTCTCTTTATTACATCTCCGATATGTAACTTCTGTCATTAAAAAAAATATATAAGAATGTGAAAAATGTGTTTACGTACATAAATTATCTTGCTAAAGGTGTGCCTGAAATTTCCGTAAGGCAGATCAGGGAAATTTACTGTAAATTATATATATATATATATATAGATAGATAGATAGATAGATACAGGTATATAGAATGGTAGAATTAAATAAGTCCGTAATATAGGTAGTACAGTTGTAATACAGAAAAAAACTGAAAATTCGGTAGTGCCATCGACTTCTGCTTTTTTTTTTTTTGTTAATTCTTTTCAATATTTATATATACACTCGTATGAAAAGCAGAAAGGAGTATTATTTTGTGTTTTCCATTTTTTTTCCTTTTTTTTTTTTAAATTATTACACAGTATGTATATTATAGCTATCCATTAAAATGAATACATTCAGGGACTAAGAATATATTGATTTGTTGAAACACTGAATATATTTTCAGAGGGAAGACATATTGTATATAGAGTCTAAAATGCATCATTAATAGACTGATTTATAGAGCTGATTTTTATTTACTACAAGATTTTGCATTCAAAATCGTGTTTAAAAAACTTGTTTCAGAAATTTGAATAAGACAGAGTAACATTTTCTCTGGAGGCATCTAAAAATATGCCAGATATGCATATTTTTGCATTATTTATTTCTTCAGTGGGTTGTAACTTGGATGTCTTCCAGAGTCCAGAGTGATAAGGTAGTTGCAAACAGAAAAAAGGAGAATACTTTACAACAAGTTCTAGATTTTGTGTTTCAAGGATCAAATCTCCACAGTGTCTATAGATACTTTTTTTTCTCTTTTTAAATGGAGGACAGTGCCAAGTATGAAATTATAAAGCAAATCTATTGTTATTAGTAATATTTGGAATACTTTAACCCATAACTGGGGAGTTCTAAGTGGATTATGACACAAGTCACTATGAAATGAAGTACATATTTCAAAGGTAGGTATAACATTATGGAAAAAAGCCCCAGAAAAATGTTGGACTCTGTGTAACATGTATATAAGACAACATGCAATCCGAACTAGCGACTACTTCGATTTATTTCGGGCATTTGAATCCGCTTTTGCATTTTGCGTTTGGCTCGCAGAACATTAAAAGATTCCAAGTATCCAAGGATTAATGAAATTGCAAATTTTATTTATTGTATTTAATATTGGTTTAATTAATAAATGATGGTTTCTTCTGGAGTACTTTGAAATAAATGCCGATTCAGGACACATGCAGTCATGCTTTCATGTGACACTGTACTAAATTATAATATATTTCAGTATATTGTATAAAGACCAAATAACAAAGATTGCTGATTATTTCAGAAGTATATTCACTAGTTGGAAGTAATAAAATTAAATGATCAGATGACTTTCATTTTGAGTTAATCACTGATGACAGGTGAACAGGACTATATCTTTCAAGTTTGCCAGCTTTATTAAGACACGTCTTTGGTGCTTAAATTCGTAGATATTTTTATTTCTTTACCTTTGAAATGCTGCATACTTAAAGGTGATATTGATAGTGAAAGGTGAATACTATGTGTTGGAAATTAAATCTTTTAATTTAAATCCAAGTGGACTCCACATGAAATGCCTATTAAGTTACATTTGCCATTTTAAAATTTAATGGAATTGCTTATATGCAAACTTGATTATACTTCTGTGAGTGTCTTTGTGTTCTATTCCTATGTGTGTTTTATGTTCTTTGTAGACATACCTGGTAACCATGACATAGAGTTCCAAGTATCCAACAGTAGACCAGGGTTCAATCATACTTGGAAGGTATGAATCTTTGTAGAACAATAGATTATGAATTCTAAAATATTCATGTTAAACAAAGACGTGATAAATGAGAGTTTGAATAATTTAAAGAAAAAATGCCATCATGGGAAAGAAAAGTTAACATCCCCTCCCCCCTGCAATTACAGACAAACCAGAAATTTTAACTAACTGTGGTATTTTAAATTTTGATGAATGATTGCAGTGGATGTTATATGAAAATTTAAAACATGGTTTGAAGTGATCATTTTAAAAAAATCTTAAACCTTAACTGTACATTGAAATTTAACCCTCCAGTCAACCAGCCATAAATGATGAAACATCATGCTTAACAATGCACACATGATACATTTTTGTAGACCTGGTAACAAGGAAGTTGATTTGTCAGAAGAATGATTCAGAGGGCCTGAGATGAAGGACTTTCTTCACACATTTGTAGTACACTTCCATGAGGAGGTAAATAGCTATGACATCACCGTCAATTATAACAGGGCACTTATTACTTTCCAATTAAAAAATAATACTCCACACTTTATTTCAACAGGATTTAGTGTTTTTTGCTGTAAAAAAATACACAATTTTATAAGATCCTGAAATAATCAATGGTTCTATTATGACTTGGGGAAAAATCATAGTCACATTGTTTTCTAGTCATATGATGTGAATTTAAAATTATAAAGTCATAAAGTCTGCAGTTGTCCTAACTTGAAACTTGTCTTTGTGCTGCATCTGGTAGGCAGTTCCATTTGTCAAGACAGTCTTTATTTGTTGATGGTCTCAGGTGTGGTAAGAGTGACTTTTTAAAACTTAGTTGATGATGATCTTTTAAAGAATTTTTGTCTTGCTTTGGTCATTAGCCTTGGATTTTTGGGGAAGATCTAAGAAGCATTGTATTGTTTGTTATTTCAGCCAGTGCATAGTACAGTGAAAATTATGTAATTTGGATGTTGTGTATTCCGAAATCTTGCCAAATTTGATGTAAACTTTAAGTCCCTTATAGTAAATTCACTTGCTTTAAATGTCTCATCCAGAATGTTGTCTAATCTGGCCATTTTATTTGGAACCAGTGCTGTCAGCATTAGACAATTTTTACTGTATTGTAGAAGCTGGCTTTACATGACTCTTGAATATACTCTGAATTAATAGGACAGAAACAGAGATTTTTTTTTTTTTTTGAGTAAAATACAACAAAAATCATAGCATTTTTTAAAACGGATGTGAATATTTGCAAGTTGTATGGACGTAGACAGAGCAAGTTACATATAGCGAGGTAAGATTTTTTACGGGCTTGTAACAGGATTTTCAATTGTGTTTGACCTACAAATGTTTCCTTAACTCTAACTTAGAAATTGTCATAATGAGGTACTTAAACAAGCTTCCTTGCCTTAATGACTGGAGTGTACGTAGAAGGGAAATACTCGGTCAAGTCTGAATGAAAAATAAAATGTTGACTTCATTCACTTTTGCTTTTCCTGGGGATGAATTTGGAGAATCCCTGTAATATAGAATGTTATTATGCTGACTGGGTAATAAGAAAAAAGAGGACACACACCTGACTTTGATAATGAAGGTAAGAAATCAGGGGACAATGTTCATTGGCATATGATTATAGTAGAAGACGATTCGGTATCGTAGAAAAAAAGGGGAAATAATGTTATGTTAGATTAATGTCTAGAATGCACGTTTTAAAACGGTTAGTGTTAATGTCTTCTTAATCTTTCTCATTGAATTATTTTGGATATAGAAGTATTTGTACATCTAAAAATAAATTCCCTGTTTGTTACAATACTACCTGGTCATTTGAGAATTAATTTCCTGAGCACTTTATTTTATACAAAGAAGCAGTACTATATCGGTTCTTTAGGCTTACACTGGGTTTCTTTCATTTAAAGCAATCCAGAAAATATGCATCAAGGGATGTGTAGGGAAATTGACTTGAACACCCCCCCCCCCAAAAAAAAAAAAAAGAAAAGAAAAAAGAGGAGTTTGAAGCTGTATGTTGAGAAGGGGACATGGATGTTTTGAAATGTTAAGAACCTTATTTTTTTTTCGCAGTGAACACCCTTCAATCATAAATATTGTATGACACAAATTTTCTTTTAATTATAAGCTTTTAGTACAATGAATAAGAGATTAACCTTATCAGAAGATACTAATAGTTTTCCAAACAGCTTGGAAAATAGTAATTGAAATGCCATAATGTATAAAGAAAAAAAGACTTGTCACCTAGCAGATAATGTAGAGATGCATGAAAATAGCTGGCAATGACTTGCAGTTTAGTTGTTATTGCTTTCTGAAAGCTTCAGAGAAAAATCAGTCATTCTTCATTGTTACTCATTGTTATCTATAAAAAATGAATAACTTTTATGACTTTGGTTTAGATTCAGATATAGTTTTGTTTATAAGGATTAGAAAGGTTTTTTAGAACATGAGAAAAATAGAAAGTGACTCAATAGACTACTGGAATTTTGAAACAATTTTTTCAGTGTTTAGAATTTAGTTGATAAAGCACAAGTTTCTTACTGAAATTATATATTTTTTTTAGAGTGGTATATGTTCTTGGTTTAAATCTTTGAGGGACTAGAGTTTGAGGGAATGGAATGCCAAGTAATAATTTTTGTATGATGTAGAGTTTTTTGAGAAGCTGGAAAAAAATGCCTGTGAATTTGACATTTATATTTAAGCGTTAGAGGGAGATTTTTGCTGACCATGTGAATCAAGTGATTGTAAGTGTTACAAGTAGCACAGCACTGACTGGAGGAAGTGTGGGGGAATATTGATGGAAAGCCAATTGCTTGTGTAAATGGAAAGGGAAAAGTGTCATCATCCGTTTTAGTGTACTTTGATCTTTAGAAACATAATTACCTCACCAACAAAGTTTGAGCAAGCTGTGGTGACATTTTCACCTATTTTCCCATATGTCTGAAACTAGGCATTACTTTTTAACTCTATTTTTGAGATGGATGACCAGTCCTAAAGGTCCTGATGGGTCAAGGTCGTAAGACTGGAATATATTTTTAAAATCTACTTTTGTTGAAAATGCGGAAATGTTAAAATACCATGTTTACAAATGAAAAAAAGGGAAAAAATAAAAATCTAGCATGTCTTGAGCTGACATTCTATAGCAAATTCTCTCATTTTCATCGGGAAAAAAAGTCAAGGTCAGTGAATAAATGTCAACCCTTAATTTACACCAACAAGGTGCAGAAAAGGAAATAATGAAATTACAATTTCATATTCATTGATTGAAATTCTCCATTGTTGACAACACAGGATGTTAGCTCATACTGGTGTCAACTGGTAGTACAGAGATATTCCCATTATATCCAAACTATATTGAAATAATTGAGATTTTACAAGAATATCTGATTGGAAGACTGAGAAGATTTATTTTTAGCTGGAACATTGATAAGAAGAAGAGAAGTGGGTTAGTTACTTGTGTAAGACAACTCCCAAATGGGGTGTCTATTTACAGGCTCTTGGCTTCTCGGGACAAAGTGAGATCCAATCTCTAACAGCACTAATTAGAGCCAGAACCAATCAGTAGTGTATGGCCCCAGTGATCTACAACCTCACCTCAGACAATTAATGGCACCTACATTTGTTTTCCATGCTTGGATGTTATCACACAGAATGGGGATATTAACTGTAAGAACACATTTTTTTTTTTTTAGAAAATATTTTTTTCGTTAAACAACATCTGAGAATATTTTAGGAGTTGACCTGAAGAGATTAAAAAAAAGAAGGCTCATTGTAAGTTAATGTTCCTTGCAACAAAAAAGAGCTAAGATGTTGACCTAGTTACGGGCAGGTTTTGTGAATGACTGGCTGCATTGAAATATTTCAGCAGGTTTTTCATGCATGTTATGAATGAAACTGTTTCCCTCTGGAATGTGGGATTTATAATTGTACTTCAGCAGGCAGGCAAGGGGAATTGCATTTTATCAGAAAAGTAGTTTTTCATCTGGTCTCACAAGTGATAAAAATAGGTTATTTCTGAAGTAGGTATTAAAAAGTTTTTGTGTTAAATCATCTGGAAAGTGGATTTTAAAGTGAAAGGGGACCTAAGGATGAAATGTGTTATCCTTCTCCCCTGTGAGGGCCCCTTTTGCCGGGGAGTATAACGTAGATGTTATGTATATAGATTGACAATCTGATAAGCAACACTAATGCTGAACTAGACCACATCCGCTCTCCTTATGAATGGCATTTTACAGTAATCTCCTCTCTCACTGGGAAAACAAGGTTATTTTTTTTTACACATCAAAACTTGAAATACGTGGGAAATTCAATTTTGTTTGATTTTATGATCACAACGTTCTATAGGTAGGTATTGATTAAAAGTTAATGGATGAATGCTTTTGGAAAAGTGCTTGAGAAATTCTTGTTTAAATATTTATTTATGCTTTTTTGTAACTAATTAATGTATACTATTTTATTTGGTGGACTGGGATAGTTTTGCTGATTTTTCATAATCATGGGGATTCATTTCTATGCTAAGAGTTATTTAAATTAACAAGGAAACACTGCTAGATTGAATGAATGTATTAAAATTGTTTAATTGAATTTGCAGAGCTCACAAAGATAAAATGGAAGAATAGCACCCACAGATTTGATTGTTCAGCATATTTGAGCTGTTAATCTGCTTAGTATGTCTTTGATAAATTGCTGTATAGGTAAGCCAAGATTATCTCTAGTATCAGCGATCGTTGAGAAAATATTTGTAATATATCTTAGTTTCAACCTATAGTTTGTCTATCATTGTGCTTGGAATGTTTGAATTAACCTTCTATTAACATCAGGAAACCTTTTTAATATCTTAGTGACTTTGAATTGCGTAGTATTAGATTTCTTTTCTTTGAATATACAGTTTACTTTTGCTTTGCACATTTCTTAAGAAAAGATAAAAAAAAATCAATTTCAGATATATTTAATCAAAATTCCTTATTTAACTGGTTTCAATTGTTTTATTTGTATTTTCTGTGACCTTTAAATGATTCATTGTATGATCACATTTTGAATCAGTGTAAGGGGTAAGAGCAGATATCATGTTAATATATTCCACCCCTTTTTTTTTTCTTTCTTCCCTGCAAAAATGCTGTGGTTTTCATAAACCTTATTCTGCTGTGAAAAATTAACATATCATGAAAATTTTATTGGATATGAATAAACCTTTAAAGGTTTGTTAATAATCATATTCAGTTTTTGCTGATGGCATATGATGGTAATAGACTTTTGGGGTAAAGCTAATTGCAGGGTGAGGGTACAGGTTAAGAACCCCTTTACTTGTGGTTTTCCTCCGGTCAGGATCAGTGACCACAAGAAGATAAACTCTTAGATTTATCGGCATTTTGTGGCTTGCACCTCATAAACTGATCAGAAGTCAGTTTAAGTGTTTAATCCCTCAAACAAGTCATTAACTTTAAGAATCTGTGGTCTGGAGTTAGGGTTAGGGTCTGATGTGCTTAAAACTATCAATGTGTTCTTAAAATCAAAGCAATACATTGCTTACAATCTTCCATAAATTAAGTGCACCAGGGATTAAAAAGTTTATTTTATTTTTTTGAAACATAATCTTGCGTCTTTATGGATTAGTGTTAGTTTGATCATCTGATTATCATATTTTAAACAAGTCTTCCTTAGTCCGGGTTTTCACCGATAAAATATTAAAAATGTAAAGAAAAGTGTCATCTAGTCTGTAAAGAGATTATCTCCATACACCAGTACTTTTTTTCCGCTTATTTTTTACTGAAAAATAGTATATAGAGCTAATACCGTAATTATCGCACACCGGTCTTTATTCCGTATTTCTGGTTTTATTGACTGGCCAATTACAAGGCTATATGTCAGATACAGCCTATAAGATTCAGTGGGGTGGGATTGAGGAAGCTATAGTAAGGCTACATGGAGACAAATGAAAAGCACACATATTAACTGGTGTTTAACTTCCTTTTGCTATTTTGCTGTTACCATTAACACTCTTTTTTTTCCCCCTTCTGTCTTCTTCAGATTGATGTGTGAAATGTGACTTCCACATGTTCTTGAATCAGAGACACTTGATCGGCAATATTACCAGGAAATTTGTGGACGATCTAGATTTGCTGTAGTCAACTGCTGTGACAGGTAACGCATTACTACTGTTAATTTACAGCTGTTTCTATATATTTAATCTGTGTATAATTTTAATATAAAGTTGTTCATGACCTCTGTTTTCATTGGGTAAATCTCATAGTCATAAAGCTATTTACCATAATCTTATCATTGGTATATAGATGTACATAATAATGCATTACAATGAGATGGTTAATTGTCTTTGCGTTTAAATACATGTATATATAGTAATAATTAAGGAACAAGTGAATTTTAGGTAACTTTTAAGAGGGTAAGAGTTTTGAGTTAAATCTAAGCAGAGATGTAAGGAGAAATACATGTGGGTGTATGAGTTCTGATTACGATGAGAATTATAATGGGTTTCTTTTTACAGCTGGCATAATCTTAGGCAACAGTTACCCACACTTATGTACATGCATACAAGAACAAAACATTCTATACTCTGGGTGGGTGGGGCGGGGGATTAATTCTTAAAAAGAATCACTTCATCGGTATGCATTTGAATACTTGTTTCGTAACTTTTTAGTTTGACCCAGCTACCTTCCAAGGTTTAGTGCACTGCATTTTGTGTTGTCTTGCCAGAATGGTAGTTTTTATTACAAGTAGATAACAGGTTACAAGAAAATTGCCGTTCTGCTATAAGTGTTCCTACATGTTTTATATCACCTCTCACCTTAGGTTTTATCAGTATGACCTCACAATAATGTGAGAAAGCAATCGTTCTGTGAAAAAGAACTGTTGGTGGCCATTAACATTTACACTTCTTTTTTTTTTTGTGGGAAGTATTTTTATGTACATTTTTTGTGTAATTGAAAAGGATGACGGACTCTTTTTTTTGGAACACCAACACCATGTACTAATATCAAAGTATTATCAGACACATACTTAATCACAGATACATATATTTAAGATCAAAGAAATGGTTTACAGGTTCAGTCCTATGTGGAAATTTTAACTGATCTCTGTTCTGTATGTGTTAATTATAACACATAAAACAAAGATTCTTAATTCAGAGATTGTTAAACCACCAAAGACATCTATACATTAAATTAGTTTGACATAAAGATGTGAATGCTTTGTGCATATTACAAAAAACTGTACCCAAAAAAACAAAGAATTTTTCAAATGTTTAAAGTATCAATTAATCTGTCAACTGTGATAAATTGGATAAATTTTCCACAGTGACTTGAAAATGTAGTCTGATATCAGAAACCTGTTAGTTTTAATGGAAGTAGATTTCAAAACCGATAATAACATTTCTCCAGACTTCATCAGGAAGCTTCAGGTGTAAATCTTCCTTCTCCAAATATTACCCTGAGGCGGAAGTGCCTTATCTCCAACATTCCCAACATGTTAAGAGTTCACCGTGTGTGTGTATAGATGTGTGGATATTGAAATATATATGATACTGTTTTGGAATTTCTTTTTGTTTGTTTGCTGTTACTTTCTTTTTCAAGATTATGAAAAAACAAATTGAGAAGTATAAAGAAAAACAAAACAGCATTTAAACATATGTTATTCTGAAATTTTGTTTATTGTCATTGTACGTACATCATCAAAGGAATGCATGTATATTGATTAAGTCACATCTGATTCAAGAGAGACAATTTAAAAATCATTGCAGTTAAATTTTTGATTATACCATCATAATATATACTGGTTTTATGTTAAAATTTCCAAAGAAGTGACAGGGTCAAAATGATTAAATTAAAAGAAGTACATTTGCACATGTTAAAGTTTGATGAACTTTAAAATGGATAAAGGAAGGGTAAAATGCTATAAAACCACTACTTTATGCAGACATTTTAATGAGTTTGGTGTCTGTAGTCTAGATAGTGAAAGTGATTGTCAGTTCATGCAAGCACTGATGAATTTTGGATAAAGTTTTAGTTTTATTTCCAAATGGAGAGAAGAAAATTTTTAAATGTGTGCTTCAAGATTTGCGATGAGGAAAATACAATAGATACGAGCTGTCTTGGGCGTAGTTTAAACAAAATACATCATGTGAAGTGTTTAGAACTGATGCCTTAGTGACCTATTTCAGAAATAGTTAACAGTAATTCATGTGTGTATAAAAAGGGCATAGCCTAAATCATGGTCATGTTCTATGTGACGAGAAAGTCATTTTGAAGCAGAATTTTCATTTTAATATGCTTGAATATTAAAATGTTGTTGAATTGTATTAAGACATAAAACAGGTTTTCCAGCCATGAGTTGCACATCTTAAAACTTAAAATCTTGCGACCCCTCTATTTGCTTTCTACAATGCTGTTATTTTCAAAGAATCTCTTGAATGAGAAATTCTGAGAGCACATGCTGACTCTCCCTGTTAGGGCAGTTAATTGTAATAATCAATTATTCAGACAATGCCATATTCATGAACTGTTTATGAATGAAAAATCCCATTCCTTGACTTGGAATTCAAATGTTAGTTCAGTCAACACTGAATATATAAATATTCTGGTGACATTTAGTATTCTGTACATGCTTTGACAGCAGATGTTTTTATTCTTGAAATGTCTACTTTCGTGAAAACACATGAAGCAACTTGTCATTGTATTTTTAAGTTTCTTTGTAAGGAAATAATCCTTGTGTGATCCCCTGGTATGATAATGTGTCCTGAAAAAAGCCTGATTTGCAATGGTGTCAATGGTGATAACCGATTAAATGCTGAAGTACGACCACTCCTTCTCTCTAAAAGCTTTATACTATATAGCTAACTATATATATATATGCCCATCATATAATGATTTGCTCTACCTAGGCTTTTGACATTTATTCTTTAACATATTGATTGAGGTCTTATTTTAAGGACACAGACATTATATGTATATAATCATATGTGTGTGCCTTTTTTTTATTATTATTATTTCTGTCTTTTTCTGGGAGACTTCATCCCCCACACAATTCCAACCCACAGCTTTTTGTGGCTGCAGGCTTAGGTTAGAAAAGAGGATTGTCTCTTTTGCTGCAGAAGTGAACTGCCTCATTAAATCTGCTGCTGGAAAGGAAAGAAAAGAGGCAATTGATACAACTGTTAAAACAACATTTCATTGAATTGGAGCAAAAGTGTGTCAGTTGTGTGAACTGTTGTATTGATTAATGGGCAATGATTTATTTATCAGATCTGTATCTCCATACAGCCATTTTGTGTTCATGTGTATTATATACAAAGAGCTTTTTTTTTAATTAGGAGAATTGTCAAACATGTAAATGCTCCCACAAGTGCCTACAGCAGAAAAAAAAAACTTTTTGCTTGTGAATTTTTCTTATTTTTACTTTCTTGAAAAGAAGAAGAGTTTCTCCAAGATTCAAGGTTTTTTTGTGAATTTTTCATAATATTAAAAAAAAAATAATCATAAAAAAAATAAGGTGGAAAGTTCTGTTATTAAGAAAGGAAAACATTTCTATAAGTGTGCTTTCTAGGTGGATTATGGTAAAAACATGACTATGTAAATAGGAACATGCGGTTCAAGTCATAGGACTGTTGATTTTTAATAAGAATGCCCTGAGCTTAGCTGCACCAATTAATTGGTGTTGAGAATCAGTTGACCTTTTGCCTTATGATCAGCCTAATCTCTCACCAACTGAGAGCAGGGCATACAACCACCAAGCACACACACTTATCCATCCCAATTATACCACCAGCTTGGACGACATCAATGTAGGATCATGACCAAAGCTGCTGCAGATATTCAGGTTACAATTGAAAGAAATTTGGATAAAATTCTGCTTGTTGAACATTGATGTTGGACTTCGATCAGAGCTCAGATTTGACCAAATTAAGTTCTAGTTGTGGCTTTTATGTTGTTTTTTCACCTTTTTAGACAAGTAGGAGATCTTGGATAAATTTATTCAGGTTTTATAGAAGTGGAAATTTGGACAAAGTGAATTTTTTTATGCTATTCCTCCTTTAGTACTCCATTACCCTAGAGATTGCCTTTATTTTTGCGTGCTAATGGGATTTGCTTGGAGAAGGAAGAAATGCCTTGATCGGTAGGAAATCTAAGGAGACATACATAATATTGACTGTGTATGCAGATTTAAAAATATTGTATCATATTATTTGTGCTGTTTTATAGATTTCCATTTTCAAGGGGTCTGTTTATGCCGTCTTGATCAGGATGAACTGCCTCTCTATAGGCTTTCTGACTTTTATGGAGGTAGGATGATTTTTCAATGTTTCAGACCAAAAATTTTGTTTATTTAGCCAATTTTGTTCAAATAATGCTGAAGTGGTGTTCAGAGATTTTTATGCAATTATTCATTTTTGCAAATGTTGCATGGGCCATCTGGCTATATGTTATTAAATTTTTTTTTCTTTTTTTTTATGTATACAAGCTAATGGTTAAATTATAACCATGATAACAAAATCAATACTAAGACACAATTTGAATTTTTATATTCACTGATCACTGTCCAGGAAAGAAAAGAAAATGAAGATGACTTTATCAAATGAGATAATTTCCTTGTGTAATGTATCGGTAATCTTTACCTTTATGTAAACAAAGTTAATGTATTCCTCAAAAAGTAAGGAAAAGATTTCCCCCTGAAATAAAGTATTCAAATCTTCAAATGGAAAAGTACCATTATGTCTCATTGTCTATCAGGCTGGGTTAAATAGATATTTGAAGTTTCAAAGGATGGAGGAAAAAAAAATATTGTCAACTACAGAGATAATGAGTTTACTCCCAACATATAAAAAAAATTCTGTTTTTTTTAAACATAAGTATTAAGATGAACAAAATTTTTGAAGAAAATATGAGAAGTGGTACAGTCTTTGTGACTGGCCATCTCTATTTAAAGTTAATTTATATTCCTCTATCATGCCCGGAGAGTTCGATTGCCAAGAATCTGTCATGGCAGAGAGGTTGCTTGTCATGTACTTGTTTACATACATGTATGTAGACATTGTGTGTATTCAGACATTTTAAAATATATCTTATGGTTGTAGAAGAAATGAAATTTTTATCAAGAAAGATTTTATCTAGATG